GAGCAAACAAACAGGAAGGACCCCTGGTTCCAGGCTTTGGGAGAAGAACACGGCTGGAACAAGATTTCTTTCTTTCTTTTTTTTTACCTCCTTACCTGTAAACGACTCAGGTTACTTCCAGTTCTGAGCAATTAACTTCGGAGGTTTAACATCTAAAGTTCAGTGTCTTTTTTTTCAGTCTTAAATGGTGAAGTTTCATATCAACCTGCCTTTTCCAATATTATCAGTATATGCAAAAAAGAACCCCTAAGAAAAATGCCCAACAACAAAAAACAAACACCAAAACAAACAAACCTCCCAACAAACAAACAAGCAACCCACCAAACTCAATTAAGTAGAAGAAAGCATTAAAAAGTAAGTGATCGACAACATTTGATTTTCACTGGCCTAAAATTATCTGATTTTCAGTTGTCTTTTGCTCTGTGTCCTTCCTGGGCTTTTGTCCTCTGCAATCCCTCTCACAGTGTTTCAGTAGAAGGAAAGCATGCAGAGGTTTTAGGATCCACCAAGCAGGCCTCATGCATCTTTTTGAGTCCATGGCATTTTCACTGCAGCTACAGAAAATAGCTAATTTGAATGCAACACCCAGTTCCCTCCTCTGCTTGTTTAATGCCAGAGCTTTGGAGTCCTTTTAGGAAAAGTCCACAACTTGTGAGGAGGTACTTCATAATCAAAGCAAAGTAGTACATCATCCTCCATGAGCCAGATCCCAGGTCCTGCCTCTAACATCTGAAGTTCAATTAACAGGTGGCTGCAGTGACCTGATGTTGCAACCTATGTCAAATGCTTCCAAAATTGGAAGGCAAAGGGTAAAGAAGACATTTAAGTACTTAAAAAACCACAAAAGATACTTCACAGTAGTTGCACTAACCTACCCTTTCCACCCTCCTGCATGTCTGCAACAACCCTTCAACCCTTTTTGCTGTCAAGTTTGGGAAGGCAGCTCACATGCAACAGGAGGAAGCATCCCATTGCACTGGAGGAACCTTTTTGTCAATTATCTCAAAGCTTGCCCAATGATAATCAGAAAGCATTTTGGTAGCACGCCCAGGGGATTTCATGTATTTTAGGTCCTTCATTTCAAACTAACTAGCAAAACAGCAGACCTGTTGAAACAAGGTACTTCAAAACAGAGACACTGAACTGCAGACATTTCTCTGGTACTCTATTATTTCTAAAACCCCAGGATGCAAGAATTATTAAGTACTACCAACAGTACAGGCATCAAGTTTTTTCCCTAATGACCAGAACATCACAGCCCAAGGCTAGCAAATTCAGTACAAAGTCTCAGTATGCAGTTGCAATTACACCTTCCACTTCATTGTGCCCATTCCTTTAGGAGACATCCAAAAGCTACCATTCATTTGAGGAGTCTTTCTAGCATGATTGAATCTTTCTCTTCACCATATATAACAGGAGTGCAGGAGAGCTCAGGGAGCAGGGGAAGGTGAAATTGTGACCACACTGCAAGGCAGTCAGAGCACGAATTACAAGGAGGAATTGTGTCCTGTCATTAAATTCTTTTTCTTTCTTTGTTTTGTGCCCCCCACGCCTCCCAAACAAGACATCCTCTTTTTTGTCAATCCATCAGCCTTAGAATTTGGCACTGTTAATTCCTTAGCAGCACAGAGAATTAACTTCTAGAGTGCAGCAATACTGAATTATCAGACCAGAATCTCCACATAAGCAATAAAAGGAAACAGGCAAATCAGCAAGAGGAGGCAAGCAGATGATGTTATTGCTTTGGATTTCTCCTGAGAAGCAACTAACTCCCTTCTCATACTGCATAGGGAATGGAGACGTTTAGTACAAGTCCTCATTAACAGGCTTCTACTTTTTTCTCCTAAGAGTACTTATCCAAGGCATCTAAAGAAGCAGGCCACAATAGTTCATTCTATTTGCAAAGCCAACAGTGTTATTTCCTGGCCTGGTGGACAGCCACACTATTGCTTCCTTCGAACAGCTGCTCTGGAATCTCTCATTTCAGAAACTCATTCAATTTTTGTTTATAGCAACTCCTTAATTTTCACAGTGGTTTAAAAAGACTCTTCTCACATATGATTTCCAATATTGCCACACTGAGTAAGACTGGTTAGTAGAGAACCATTATGGAAAAATGGCAGAAGATAGAAAGTAAGGATTTAAGAAAATAAATAACTAGCAGTGTGTTACCTGGTAAGCACAGCCTGTGGTGGAAGGTGTGAAATGGGAATTTGCTGCTGTCTTTGCTTAGCCTCACAGCCTACCATTGAGCATGTCTGGCCCATGAACCCTGCTGCACTTTCTTATCCTCTCAGCACAATCTGGTCTTTTCCATGTCTCACAACATCTCTTCTATGAAATTTCAATTACCCCAAGGAGAAACTAGATTACTATTAGAAATTACGACACTTCAAGACAGAAAACACTTCTGTCTACTTACATCACTGCCAATACCAAATGAACTATTAGGTACTGGAATTGTAAGAACTGAATGTGAGGCCTTGGTAGCAGTTCTCTGTTCTGTGTCCTATCAAACTCCTGCCACAGCAAGGTTTCTCTATCTCCACTGCCTGAGCAGATCACTGCAACCAAAGTCCATGTTGCATCCACTGTAACTGGCTGTCACTTCACTGACAAGACAAACTCCCACAAGCTTTAGATAGAGGTGACTTCCTAAATACTGCACATTTGTTTTGTTTCACCAGGAATAAAAGGAACCCAAACCTCTTTTTTAACCAAACAATCAATTTGATTTTTGAGTCCCTTTTAAATATATAATGGTCCTTCACATGGCAAATTATAAAAACTATGAGAAATGCAGCATTATAAATGTAGAAACCCTATACCTGCAAAATGGGAGACAGACTTTACCGTCAATAACAACTGAATCATCTGCTTTTTTTCCTAAAGCTGTACATACGTCCTTTCTATTCTTAGTACTTTAACTAAATGTTAAGTATATGCTTTTCTTTGTGATAAAGAGTGGTTTTCCAGATAGTCAACAATCACAGAAGATCCTTTATTCAAGCTCCCCTGCCCCTTAACCCTTTATTCTGCATCTTGGGCTGCAGGAGTTACACTCCTCTTTTAACAGGACAGAAGTGTAAGAACCAAATAAAGTGAGAGTGATAGATAACAGATGGCAGACTGGAAAAGTGGGTCAGTAGATGCCCTGTATTACAAAATGTAGCCTGCTCCGTCTTCATCCCTCCCCTTGCACACCAGCCTGGCTGCCCCTGTCCTGTGGCACCTCATTAGTCACTATGCACTAGTGCCACTGTGGCATGGCAGCATCTCTCACTTTGATTCCATTCTCAGTCTGCATCTCAACTTTTCTCCTTCCAACAGTATTTGGATCACAGGCCAACTGAAGTCAGGACTTCCAATAATCCTTGGGTGTCAGTTCAGGAGAATTAAAAGTATCAAACCAGTCTCAAATATTTATTCCTGTGAGACGTTTCTTGTGTTGCCAAGGAACATCAGGCATTACAGCCATGTTTTGCCTGACACTGGGACTAAACAAGTAATGGGTCTATAGTTTCTGGTTGCAGATAAAATGAGTTTCTTAGGACTGGGACCTTTGCATACATCTTTTATGTTGTCCTGAACTACAATATCACAGTTTTGTTAATCTTAAATATGCTCTGAATCTAAAACATTTTTATCATTCCCACAGTAGACATTCATTAAAAAATTAATCCTTCTAATTCAGACTGATGCTCATCACAGCATAGCCAAGTTACGGATCTCAGGACAGACTTGAGATTCATTTCTCCCATATTAAAATGCTTACAATGCCTTTAACCTACTGATTGCTTTTCACTGACAATAAAAGAAGTAAAAGCTAACACCGTAGATAACTAAAGTTACATGAGATGAATCCTGTTCTTTATGTCACTGTTTAGCTTTGGATTCTCTTCTGAGAGCCAGGTCCAGGAGATGGACATGAGCCAGTGCTGATGCTTTACTGGCAACTTACGACGTGCTGGCTGTGAGCAGCTTTATGAACAATCACAGATCTTGTGCTGTAAAACCTAAAACTCCTATAAAGTCTTTGGTCATTAACAAAAACTTTCTGCAAAGAAGAAAGTCCTCTGGAGAGTAAATTAATTACAAGTCTCAATTCTGCCTAATATTTTATGTACTGTACCTAACTTACATGCTCTTTCTCATAAGTGGCATGCTGTTATGATCAACATTAAAAATGCATAAGGCGGACACTGAGTGGGAAAGGAGCTGTTCAAATATTTACAGCAGAAGCCCAAAACTATCTGAATTTCCAATTCTAAGACATGTGCTATAGCCATGGTGCCAAGTGAGGTGATAGAAAGAAGGACCTGAAAGCCTTAGGACTCTGCTCATCATTTATAGTTAATTCTTGGGTGTACTGTGAATGCAGTTCAGTCCAAATGCAGTTCTAATGGCCAAATATTAACAGAATGTTTGGTTTCAATATAGGAAACATCCATTAGGGAGTATTTTCTTTTCTAAGTGATCTAACCTTCATCTTTTTCCTTAAAACCACTCATCCACCTCATTCTGATGATGGCACCAGCACAGTAAGGATAACAACAGTTAATGGAACCACCTGTATATTTTGAGAAATATGTAGTTCAGATATCTTCCACTAGTAAATTCTTTTCCATATGGTCTATAACACATACAAAGTTTTGCCTGCCTACCAGCACTTGGGCCTCATATCTCCAATTACATGTCTTTAAATCACCATTCAGGATGAGTACAAATAAGATGCAGAAAATCTTCCACCAATCCCATACAGATTTACCTTATCAGAGGTGAACTCAGAGACACACTTTGTTAAAACTATCTCATTAGCTGGCTTTACCCATAAACAGCCATCAAGGAAATCCTACCACACACAAAAGAAGAGGAAGGCTAGATAGAACCAGTATTCATCATCTGTCCCACGCAAGAAAAATCTCAATAATTTAAGTTCACACTTGATACTGCTTCCAGAAATTTGTTTGAGACTTCTGAGGTCAGAAAACTGAACTTACCTCGCTCACATGTTCTACCCCAATAGCCAGTGCCAGTGCAGTCACAGATGAAGCGGTTCCAGCCATCCTTGCATACTGCATTATTCTTACACGGGTAGCTGTCGCACTGCTTGGTGCTGAGGCGGGAGCAGGAGGACTTGACTCCTGCAGCATTCTGCGCCTCCGCCAGCTGTCGGATGTTCTTGCTTCTTCCATCAATGAACAAATCTCGGATACAGCCAACATAGCCATAGTTCAGCATTGCTGTCCAGAGCTCTGTGGGAAGGATGAGTCCTGCCCGGTTCTCAGGCAGCCCACCAAGGTACATGTCGCCTTCCAGATCTAGGATCTCGCTCTCCCCACTAGCAGTGAATGGGGTGCGTCTGCTGTTCACTGATATAGTACCTAAATGAGGGAGACAAGAAGACATCAATACTTTCAATTACAGTCACAGCTTAGCTCACTTTTTTCCAATAACTGAGTGAGGTTTAAGATTCAGCAGAGGAGAGTGAAGATTCCTCCCTACCCAAATGCAATTCTAACAGATATGTTAGCTGTGTGTCTCTCACATAGCTCTGTCTCCTCTTGAACTACAGGTCCTAGGTACTTCTCTGCACTGACTGCAGATCATGTGTCTGTATCCAAAATTGCATTATAAAGTCAGAAGCATAACAGTGCTATGGCTAAATAATATGTAAAAACTGAGCATTATTCAGTAGTATTCATCCAGTAAAGCAAAGACTTACTGAGAACATACAGGAGTTTGATACAGGACTGGAGAGACAAAAAGATAAGCAAAAGAATAATAATTCACACTACACAGTTCTTTCAGAAAACACTTAATCAGTACCTCCAAACCTGGGCCTGGATGATGGAACTAAATAGACATCATCAGGCTTGTAGGTGACATCAGCTTGAGGAAAATGGTTGATGTATTGAAGGAAGCACTGGGCTACCATTCAGAGAAACCTTTACAAGGTGGATCAAAGGACTGATAGTAATATTGGATGGAAATCAAAAGCAAACAATACAAAGTCCTACATCGGGGTCAGAATAGCCTCACATGCAAGTACAGGCTGCAGACCAGCTGGCTAAGGAGCAACTCTGCAGGAAGGACTTGGAGATAAGGCAGGCAACAATCTGAACACAAGTCAGCACTGTGAACTTGCAGAGACAAGAGATACTGATCACAAATTGCAGTAAGGTGTCTTGGTTCTAGCCAGGACAGGGTTAATTTTTGCAGTAGCCAGGAGGGGGAATCTCACATCATTGATAGGAGTGAGGAAAAGGGGCTCTCTTGCCAGGAGAAAGGGTTCCTTCCAGTCAAGTGGAGGGAGCAGAAGGGCAACAATGGTTCCAAGCCAGAGGGAATGGTGGTGTGGTGCTAGGCCCCAGCCAGAGGGAGTGGTCAGGCTGGCGTGGTTGCACTCAGGTCGAGCTCCATGGTGAGCATTTTTGCATGAGAATCACTCTTTTGTACACTTTTGTTGCCAATATTGTTGCTGCTACTGTTATTTCATTGTTGTTTCCAGTAAACTGTTCTTGTCCCAACCATGACCTTCACCTTCTATGCCTCCAGTTCTCCTCTCCAGCCTGCCACAGGAGGGAGGGGGAGGGGGAGGGGAAGTGAGCAAGTGGCAGTGTGGTTTTACAAAGAAAGTTTTCAAATTTCCACTTTATAAACAGGAAAACGGAGGTAGAGAGAGACAAAGGTTATCTCTGAAGAACAGTTACTATTAAAACTTTGGTAGTTTCCATATGCTCCAAGCAATATGTGGGCATACTGCACTGAGACCATTCCTATATTTTTCAAGAAATTGTCCCAGCACATAAAACAATCAGAACATATTATACATGAATAAATCAGAATATATGAAGCAGATACAGAAGAGTAAAATTATTTGTTTAAAGTCAGACAGTGCATCCATAGAAAAATGGGAAACATAATGCCCATCTCTCACATCCCAGAGCACTGTACTCTTCTGAAGAGCATTCAGCAGCTTTCGTGATAGGGACATCTGCCCATCAGACACTCATCTAAAAATCAGCAATTCACTCTCCCTAGCTATAAATCATCACATTGCCTTGTCATTAAGACAGTCTGTCTTCAGAGACACTTATCCAAGCTTTAAGATTAATTCCACATCACTGCATTTTTATCTGCACCCCTGAAATAAGGTGTGAGAGTTAATAGAATTAGCTCTACTTTGTGTCTCTGTGAGAAAGTACAGATACGTACACACACTTTTTTTTCAGCTGTAATAGGTGTCTTCTTAAGAGAATGGCACGTATGACACAGACACGAGGTATTTCATGTGTGTGATGTTCAGGAGTAATTGAGGAATAATGTCAGTGGCAGTAGAGTGTCAGAAGCAACACAGGCATTACAAATTAAAGGTTCAAAGAGAACAACAGTTATTTGATGAATCATTTTGCAAAAAACAAGCTGCAGCACCACAGTCATTTTCTCTTTTACAAAGTAAGAAAAGAGAACATGTGACAATACACATACAGTCTCACAGAGCCACGGAACTGCAGTCCCCCTCCAGCACTTCCGCTGTTACTTCTCAAAAGCAGCCTGAAGAAATACTGGAATGCTGAGCTCTAGACAGTTGCTACTACAGAGTGAAAAAATATCACCTGCAAAAGCCACAAAGGTAAAGAAACCCCCTAAAATACAAGAAATGTGGGATACTAAGAAGTATAAAACCTGGAGAAAGATGATGAGATGATGAACGGAAATAGGCTATACAGAAATCTAAACATTCTATCAGTGTTTTTCACCCTGCAACAATTCCTGTAAGGAGATGGTACTAGTTTGGATGCACAGGATTTTTAAGGTCAACCTGTCAAAATGGAGAAATTCCAAATTGACCCTAGGAAGAAGCGCATGAGTTGACATCCTTCCCCACCCACCACCCCCAAATCCCACATTTGCAACTCTGTTTAGAGTCTATCCAAGTCGATCCAAATCCATCTTAAGATATCGGAAGCATCGAAGCATCTGCTTTCCAGTGCCTTTAGCACTTTGTGCAAGGTTAAAGAATCAACAAACCAAAACACCACAGTTACTGAGGGCAGAGCTGGCATACAAAGCAGTGCACTAACGCAACTGTACATTAAACCTTCCAGTAAGATTTTTAGTGTCTGAGTGGGCATGTTGTGCAGCTGATGACCAGCTGAAAACATTGTCTTGTCTAACAAGCTAGTTCCCCAGTTAGAAACTGTGACAGGTTTTGTGAGCACTTTGTGGGAGCTTTCCCCAAGGACAGAAAAGTTAAAGGATGCTAGGTGCCCATGTCCACGCTACCAGCTTTTGTCAGAGTAGAGAGATGAAAATAGCTTTTCTTGCTCTGGCAGCCAACACAGACCAAAGCATACACAAGGCCTAAGGGGACTAGAGGTGCCAGAGGTTACCTGGGCATGACTGCCAAGCTCTCACAGTGCTAGTGCTCCTGCCTTAGTGCATCGCACTAGGGAATATTTAGATTTTGGGGCTATTTTATTAAGCTCAGCAGAATCTGAAGTTTTGGATCCAGAACTCCTTTCTCATGTCTATCACAAGTGTCACTGAATAAGAGTGACTGATGCTTGCTAAAGGGCGTGATGTAAAGAAAAGAGTGCCAGTATCCTGGTTTTCTTGAGACACAAGACATCAGTCACTAGGATCATTAATCAAGTATTCATTGTCAGCAGAAAATACACTTAAAAAAAAAAAGAAAAAAAAAGAGGACAAGAACATACAAACATGTTCCTTCTTGTTGAGGAGAGTGTTTCTAATTCAGAATTTGTTACCTCTAATCAGTGTCCAGAACATCACAAATCTCCCTGTCAAGTGACAAACAAGTCAGTCCTAAGTTTCATTCATCAAGTGGCAATGCTGTTTGTCACACCCTCCTAGTTTAAATGAACGTGTGTCCCTCTTCCTAGAGTTTTACATTCTTTGAGGAGAGCCTAGTGTCATTTCTTTTCTTCTCCCTCTGCAGTTGTCTCTTCAGGGATGAGACAGTCCCCAAGTGAGCAAGCAAAACTGAAGTCACTACTGAATGCAACTAACTGAGTTTATCCTTGGAATTTAATTAAATTTTAGCAATTCTAAAGAAATAAAAGCTCCATTTATTTATTTATGGCTTCCTTTGTAAAATGTTCCTATCGATGTCTTTAGGAGATAGCAATATATAACAACACATATTAAGTCTCAATAGAGCACCATGCAAAATACAAAGAAACTCCTCACACTATCAAAGAAAAAAATAGCTTCAGGCAAAGACCTGTTCAAACAGCTAGGCCTTGCATGGTATCTAAAAGTCAGCTCTTTTAAAAACTCAGGGGAAGAAAATTCTAGCACTGCTTTCTTTGTACTGATGGTATTCAGCAACAGGAAAAATCAAGTTAGGGATCTAAACTATCATCTGGAGATCACCAGACAACCCAAATCCACTTGCAAATGTAAGCAATATTCCCTTTGAAGGGAAGGCTTTGAGATCCCAATGGTTCAGAAAAAAATTCAACTACAATTGTTCACATTTTCACAAGATTGCAGTATTTGATCATTTTTGTTCTCCACAATTTCAGAGCACATCACGAGTATGTTAGCTTGATATTCAGCACTAGAAACAAACAAAATACCTCTTGGTAATTGCAAGGTAGGTGTATTTTTAGAAATAAACTAAAACACATAATTGAAAATGAGAAGCTGCAAGGAAAAAAAAAGGAACATCCACTGAATGCTGACTCATTTTAAGACTAGAATTTGGCATCCAAAAGAGTAAAGAAACCTAACAAAAAACTACAAGATACTAAAGGAAATAGAAGAGAACCTGAACTCCAAACCAGAATGGGATGAAAATGTTGATTTGTTGGCATAATTTTGTTTCTGGTTGTACCCATTACTCTTATTTACCTCATGACAAGACACTAGCTGCAGAAATCCCAAGGAGATCAGTGAAATTTCTCAAAGTGAGAACAATGGTTCTGAAGACATTAAACCTTACCATGGCCTATAAAGAATTCATCACTATAACTATGCATGTAATTGAAAACATAGGTCCAGAATATCCAAGGATTGTGAATAAAATATTAGTAGACTGCCTCTGGATGTGCTATCCAAAGTTCACACTAAACCTAGTCATCCACATCTTTGCTTTGCTGGATAAACATCACTGGAGTAGCACTAAGCTTTTTAAGAAGGTGACTCATATCTAACAGGTTTTGAAGGTTCTGAAAAATTAATATACAGCCCTAGGTCTGAACCTGCAACATGAATCTGCTTAAGAAGAAGTCATCACTCTACCTGATCTTCCATCTCGTTGAATGTCCACATGATACCACTCTCCATCATTGGCTTTCTTCTGTGTGGCCTTGACTTTGATGGTCCCAGAACCCATGTCCAGCAGCAAGTAGAGGTTTCCGTCTAGAAGCTCAACTGCAAAGAAGTCTACCTTTGTATTTTTCTGGCTTCTGGCATCTTTCCTCTCCTGAGGCTTGCCATGGGTGAAAAGGATCAGTCCATTAGGTTCAGTGGTTCGGAAGTCAAATGAGATAGAGCCCATCCTTTTGGTATTCCATTTAGGCAGACTAATATAGGCCTCAGGTGTCTCAAAGCTGATGGGATCCAGCGTAGCCACGTTTTCACATACGAATTTCACTTCCCCGTAGATCTTCATCTTAGTATCACCAATCCGTGCCAAGCGAGACAGCTCCAGACGAATGTCATTATTCTTATAAACAACCTGCCAGACACAAGGAAAAGCATCATACATCAATCCTGCATACAATACAAATACCCCAATTACTTTCAGCCATGGGAGATGAACTTCTCCCAAAAGGCAGGGGGGAGCAGAAAGGAAACAGTGCAAGAGTCCGACATCGAGACATAGGGAGAAAGCTGAACCAGGAGTGTGTACAGAAATGACAGCAGCGGGTACTTTGCAGTAACTATAGATCAGATAAGCAGTCAGAAGAGAATATTTAACTGAAGGGCACTAAGAACAATTAACTCTACTACAGGCCCACTTGGCTGTAAAAGCTTTTGTACAAAAAATCCAGTGTGTGTCTGGTATCATGCTGTTATATTTGCATAAATCCCATACAAAATACATAACAAAGTGTAACCTCCATGTCCATCTCTACTAGCCACAGCAGGGAACTCAGTACCACCACTGTCATTTTGCTATTATTCCTACAAGTCCACTTAACTACTAGGAGAGAGATGCAAAAACATTTCAGCAAGTTGCTGTGAACTGTTAGTGATTGCCCTGTAGCTCCTAAAGAAAAAAATACACAAAGACTTGAAATTTCTCTTACCAAGGAATCTTAGATCACTACACACATAAATTTACCATGGAAACACCTGCATAGCTTACCCTCACTTTAAGAAATCTTCAGTCTCTATGCTAACACATAAAAACTCTTACATATTCAGTGCCTGGACTCTCTCTCTCTGGGTAAAGGACCAGAACTCTAAGTTGCTACAAGGATTGAAATTAGACAAGAGAAAACTCCCAAAAAGGCAAGCACTCCTGACCATGTCTGGCTTATTCAGGAGTCCAGACCTCCTACTCTTCTCTTTCTTTCAGGTACAGAATTAATTCCTGGAAAGCAGACTCCTCTCTGCCCCATGCCATTCTCACAGAGGCAGGAACTTAAGAAAGCACAAAACTAAAATATTTAAAAACTATACTTCCTCTCAACCCTCTCCATGCTTCCCAAACCGAGAACTGGCATACGCAGCAAGCAAAAGCACTTCTGCAACTAACACAATTTTTATTGAATTCATGTTCTGTAATGCTACTGGACTCTTATTTCTTCTAAGGAGTTATTATTTTAAAATACTTTGTGTCTAATACATATAGTATACACACATTTGATTTTTGCTTTCAAAATACTATCAGGATGAGTTGTCATTAATTTGTTATGAAATGAGAAGGGAAAGGAGATCTGCATTGTTAATTCTATAATCACAACAGGGAAGTCAGAGAAATGAGCATGCTGTAAATATTAAAAGGTGTGAGAAGTGAATGAGGGATAAGCTTCTAAATGAGGTGACTTCAGGATGAAAAAAGTAAATGAAATTACAATTCAACACATTCATAGTAAGCAAAGAATTTCCAGCTTTCACTAAGCATTAAAAGAGAATTTCCCCAGTGCAGTCAGCACAGTATCAGATTTTCTTTCACAAAGGCAAAACACAGAGCAAAAGGAGAAGCCAGCTATTAAATCCCATTTGGAGACATAGCACAAAGCTGTAGTTCCTCCCAGCAGAGGACAGTATTGACCCACAGTAGCTTGTTTTACTCCAATTCCCAATAAAATGCTCTGCCCTCACACAGGCTTCAAAAACATTAAGTCTATTAATAGCTGAAACAGGAATAAAATACATTTTCAAATTTGGGACTGTACTAGTTTCATTGTATGGATATGGGTTAACCATGTCAAATGCTCTCATTAGACAGACCATACATGTGCTTTCATTGACACAAGGGTATGCATTCTAGCCTCCCCTCTTGCCAGACAATAACGTCCACCTCAGTCAGACTTTAGTTCTGAGCACTGCATGAAGTCCTGTCTCTGCTTCTCAAAGAAAAGGAGGAAAATAAATAGAAAAGCTAAGAGGATGGAGCAGGATACTTTATGAGGATAGCCTGAAAAGGCCAGGGCTCATACTTAGAGAGCACTGAGGAAAATGCGATTGAAGTTTACAGAAGATGGAGAAGGTTAACGTAGAACTGCTCTATGCCAAACCCAGCAGTAATAGAACTAGAGGCACACGCTGAAACTTGTATGAAGTCAGTTTAAAATGGATTTTTAGAAGTACTTATTTACAGAGAGGGTAGTGAACTTCTGGAGCTTGCTGCCACAGGAGGTCACGGAAGTAGGGTCAAAAAGAACTAGAATGAAAAATGGACACCAAGTACACAAATTGACACTAAAGCAAAAAGGTAGGAATGGATCTTCTAACAATCGTAAACTAATAGCAGTGGATGCTATGGGTGCATAAGGGAATGCACCCTTGATAGCAGCCATGGTCACACGTTCCCCCAAAATAGCACTTGCATTCACCACTGCTGGAGACAGCATACTAGGTACATGAATTGACCATTCTTCAGGCCCACTAGGGTTTACGGCTTTGGTGCAATATTGCATTTTTGGTTTCACACCAGTATGGACTTGCTTTGGTGGGAAAGAGAATGCCTGGCCTGCATGAACTGTGTCTTTAATGATCCTAACATAGGAAAACTGCTCTTATAGGATACTAATAACAGTTGCTCAAACCAACACTCCTCTAAACTATATCTTGACCCAGACTTTCCACAAATGAGGAGCAGATAGGTAGCAAAATAGCCTACATATGATTGATGGCTGGTGCTGGGTTGTATCTAGTCATGACTCAGGAATAAGTTTTCAGCAACCTCTGCAGGTTGCTGGTAGAAGGAATATCACATTCACGTGAGCAGCTTCCACGTACAGCTGAGGCACATACAGGTTACATCTCCCTCTTTGAACGTATTTGATACTTAAGTAACAGCTCCCATCTCTCCTGGAGAAATGCAGAGGGTTTGCCTCTCGATTTATTTGAGGTTTAATGCCGACTGCCTCTTATTTCAATAGTCATACCGGTAGCACAGCTGGAAAATCTTGGGGACAGAAGACTCTCAGAGGAACTGGAGAAAATTACACATACTTAGTTGTAAACCAGAAAGTCACTAACAATGAATAATCTGAGAGCAAGTTTGAAAGGACAGACCAAAAAAGCAAGCAAAGAGGATGACCTGAGGAAGAGAGGATAAAGGGTGTTGAATAGGTACAAGATTTCTGAATTCAATCTTTTCAAAGACACAGATCCACCCCAATCAGAATCTCCAGTATTCAAGTGTTTGTTGTTCTAAATTATTTTCTTAAGGGAAAAAAAAAAAGAAAAAAACCTAGTTTGAGAACTCTAAAAAGCACCTGTCTTTAAGGAAAAAAGTACAACTATTTCCATAGCTGACTTGTGTTACTGACAGATACATTTGGACATGAATATCTTGACATATAATCAGGTATACCAGAACTCTCAGCACAGCAAAAGAAAAGGATAAAAATAATCCTTGGGTGTAAAACCAAAGCAAATCCTTGGCAAGAACAGAGAAATGTTAAGGCAGCTTCTGATAACCACAGTTCAATTGTTAAACCAAAGGTTCAAGAATGAAAAAAGGGAATATAATTAAATGACTGGAATGCATGTCCCATAGTGAAGAACATTCAAATTCAGTCTATTTAATAGGTAGAGGTTGAAAGGTGATCCGATTACAATCTGTGAGTACCTGTGCAGAAAATCAAATGTGACAATAGAGGGTTCTTCAGTTCACGTGACAAAGGAACAGGGGAATCTGGGGGCTAAAAATTGAAGTTAAAGAAATTCACATTTTAAAATATTATGACTTATTTTACATGAGGGTAATTTGCTTCTGAAATAATTTACTATAGGTTATGGTGTGTTCTCTGCTACTGGCAAATTTTAAATTAAAATAGTATCTTGTTTTCTCTAAAAGATACCGTGAGACAGGAATTAATTATATAGCAAATCAGCCTAGATTATCATAATGGCTCTTTCTGGCCTCGTAACCTATGAATCTTTGTGTTTTAATGAAATCAACAGATGCTTCAGTGCAGTTTCCAGGACAGATGAAACACATTCTTCCAAACTGTTAAAACTACTTGGTAAAGGAGTAGATGCTGCTGTCAGTTCTGGTGTCACTTATCACCAGTGCTTTCAGTGAAGTTGTTTTTGGTTTTTTTTGGTTTTTTTGTTTTTTTTTTTTTTTATGTGTTTGTGATCCTACCTTGCAACATATCATTAAAAATGAAGGCAAGTAAAAAGTCTTGGACAAAAGAACTTGACTCTATAGTTTAAATATATAAGCTACGAGAACTAGTTCCTTAGAGTTACCTGCTGCAAGCTAGAGAAGAAAAATTTTCATGTTTCACTGAGGCAGTTTTCTGCCACCAGAAGAATCTACCATCTGCATAGCACTTCCTACCTTGCAGTGTCATGAGTAACCTCTGGACCAATTTGAAGGCTCTTCAGTACGCCAAAATACTAATTGAAACCCACACCTCTAACTCCAAATGAGGCCATGACTGACTCAGAGTGCTGTCCCTCACTTGAACATGATCTAGTATCACTCTGGGACATGGCTTCCATAGCAACTGAGAAGTAAGCAAAGCAATAAAACAGCACCCATTTTTATCAGATGCTTCCTAAACAAACCTGACCTCGCCTGTTCAAATAGAGACAAGCTTGAATTCATCCCATGTCCAATATATGTATCCCTCAGAGAAGGTCTAAGGGAGTCAAGGACATAATTTCTGATACAGATATACACATCTACCTTACAGTTATTTTGGGAAGGAAGGTGGAAAATAGAAAGGGGAAAAGAAATTACTAGCAAAAGCTATGCACAGAGCATTTGAAAATTAACTGTCATTCCTCCAATCTTTAAATTGCTTTATATTCCAAAAATTAAACAAGAATAATGAAAAATTGTTTTTTTTCCTTTTCTATGAGGACTGCTTCTAAATAATCTTTTAAAAATTAATATTAACTGTTCAATGCCTTTGTTTGATAAATTTGATCAGTATAAATGGATGGTCAGGGATGGGAAAGTCCTAATATACATGGACCTGATGATCAGCACGAGAATTTCATGATATCTATGACATTTTGAGGGGGAAAAAAAGGAAAAAACCT